AGCTGAAGGCGCAAAAAAGAGCAGCAGCAAACGGAGAGAAGCAAAGGAGATATTTGAAATAAAATAATAAAAGGGAAGAGATGTAGAAGGGCATTAAAGCAAAATATAAAAGAAATTAAAAAGAAATTAAAAAGAAATTAGAATTAAAAAGAAATTAAAAGGAACTTAAGAGGAAATTAAAAAGAAATTAAAAAGAAATTAAAAAGAAATTAAAAGAAGGCAAAAGGAAATTAAAAGAGATAAATGATAATGAATAAAGACTCAGACACAAAAGAGACAAAGGTGCTGCTGCTACCTCAGTTGCTGCTGCTACCTGAGTTGCTGCTGCTGTCTGTGCTGCTGCTGCTACCCTAGTTGCTGCTGCTGCCTGTGCTGCTGCTGCTACCCTAGTTGCTGCTGCTGCCTGCGTTGCTGCCGCTACTTGGTTTGCAGCTGCGACCAAAGTGGCTGCTGCTGCTGTGCTGCTGCTGCTGCTACCTGGTTTGCTGCTGCTGCCGGAGTTGCTGCTGAGGGAGACTGCAACAACAAGCTGATTGCCTTCTTTGCTGTTGCTCATGAATTGCTGCAGCTGCTCAACACTTTCCAGCAGCTCATCTCGGCCCAGGCTGTGGTTTAGCCAGGCCAGGATTTGCGTCCGCCGGCGGCCCCCTGCAGCAGCAGCAGCAGCAGCAGCAGCAGCAGCAGCAGCAGCAGCAGCGGCGGCAGCAGCATGGGCAGAGGAGCTTAGTTGAAGACGCAGCCGCTGCAGCAGCAGCACAACCGCACAGGAACCCAGACGCGCCCACAGCACCAGCACAAGCAGCAGAAGCAGCAGAGTCTGCAGCAGCAGCAGCAGCAGCAGCAGCAGCAGCAGTAGCAGTAGCAGCAGCGACAGGAGCACGAGCAGTGGCAAGAACAGCAGGAGCAGCAACAAAAGCAGGAGCAGCAGCAGGAGCAGCAGGAGGAGGAGCAGGAGCAGGAGCAGCAGCAGCACGAGCAGCAGCAGAAGCAGGGGCACGAGCAGCAGCAGCAGCAGCAGCAGCAGCAGCAGCAGCAGCAGCAGACCTGTGTACTGCCGGGCCTTGCCATCTACGTATAGTTTTATAATAGGGTACTCCAGCACATGTTCAGCCTTTTGGGTCTCTGGGTTTTCATCGCAGTCAATCTTAGCCAGAATAATCGAGTCTGAGGGGCCCCAGGGGCCCCCCTGGGGGCCCCCCAGGGGGCCCCCCAGCACTTCCCAGCCAGTACCCTCTGGGTCTTCGGGGGCCCCCCAGGCCCCCTGGGGGCCCCCAGGGGCCCCCCAGGCTGCAGCCCCCTGAAGGCCCCCGGGGGCCCCCCCCGGGGGGGCCCCCAAGGGCAGGGGCCCCCCCGGGGGGCCCCCAGGGGGGCCCCCCGGGGGGCCCCCGGGGGGGCCCCCGGGGGGGCCCCCAGGGGGGCCCCCAGAGGGGCCCCCTGCTGCAGCAGAACGCGCATGCATTAGCCTGGCTACAGCGTCGAACTCGGGAAGTGCTGCTCTTGACCAGTGGCACCAGGGGACATAAAATAAGACTAAGACAAAAGGCTCTGCAGCAATGAAAGCAGCAAAAGTTTCATCTGTTAAGACCACTGCGCCTTCCCCGCTGCTGTCTCCCGCTGCTGCTGCTGCTGCTGCTGCTGCTGCTGCTGCTGCTGCTGCTGCTGCTGCGGGGGGGGCGGCGGCGGGCGCGGGGGCTCCAGAGGCGCTGCCAGGGGGCGGCAATACGCTAGCAACCGCCCCACCCTGCTGCTGCTGCTGCTGCTGCGGCTGCTGCTGCTGCGGCTGCTGCTGCTGCTGCTGCGGCTGCGAGTGGCGAAGCTGCTGCTGTGGTGCTGGGAACTGCTGCTGCTGCTGCTGCTGCTGATAGACTAAGGGTAGCGGCTGCGGCGAAGGAGGCTGCTGCTGGCGTAGCTGCTGCTGCTGCTGCGGCGGCCGGGGTGGCTGCTGCTGTTGCTGCTGCTGCTGCTGCGGCATTTGAGGCTCTTGTCCTTGCTGGTGACGCAGCTGCTGCTGAGGTGCGGGCTGCGGCTGATTCAGCTGCTGCTGCTGCTGCTGCTGCTGCTGCTGCTCCAGCGGCAGCGGCGGCAGCGGTGTCTGATAGCGGAGTTGCTTCTGTTGCTGCTGCGGCTGCAGCTGTGGCTGCAGCTGCGGCTGCTGCTGCTGGGCCAGAGCGGGTTGCAGCAGTGGCTGTGCTTGCTGCTGCTGCTGCTGCTGCTGCGTTGCTGCTGCTCGCAGCTGTGGGGTTGCTGCCTGCTGCAGCGGAGCAGCAGCAGACACGGGAGCAGGGCTAGGGGAGCTGCTGCCTGCTCGGAGGCCCCCCCTTTGTGTGGGGCCCCCAGGGGCCCCTGCGGGACTCTCTGGGGCCCCCAGGGGGCCCCCAGCCTGAGTCATGGGGGCCCCCCCGGGGGGCCCCCCAATGCCTGTCTGCACTGCTGCTGCAGCACTCAGGGGGGCCCCCAGCTCTGGGGGCCCCCGGGGGGCCTCTGATCTTAAGCTGGGGTTCATGAGGGGGGTCTGCTGCAGAGGGTACTGGCTGTTTTGCTGCTGCTGCGCAGCGGCTTGTGGGGGGCCCCCTCGGGGGGCCCCCAGGGGGGCCCCTGGGGCGGCCCCCTTAAAGGCACTTGGAGGGGCCCCTAGGGGGGCCCCTGAGGGGGCCCCTGAGGGGGCCCCTGAGGGGGCCCCTGGGGGAAGAGCCTCAGGTACCCCTTCAGACCTTCTTAGCTGCCCAAGGACTCCAGAAGGGGCAAGTGTGAGCAGCAGCAGCAGCAGCAGCAGCAGCAGCAGCAGCAGCAGGTTGGAGAGAGGGCCCCCGGGGTGGGTGGGTTTAAGGAGTTTAGGGCGCTTCATCTTATGGAGCTCTTCGGCTCTGCAGGGATGTAGCTAGCTAGCTAGCTAGCTAGCTGCTGGCAGGGGCTCTGGGTCTGCTGCTGCTTCGCCGCTGCTGCTGCTGCTGGTGTTGCTGCGACAGCAGCGGCAGCAGCCGCTGCTGCTGCTGCTGCGGGCCTTCGAGAGCTCTCGAGGCCTCCTGAGGCCCCGCTGCTGCTGTTGTCGCTGCAGCAGCAGCAGCGGCGAGCTGGGGTGTACGTACACCGCAGCTGACCGGCAACCCCCAGCGCCTGCGGAGGCAGATAGGCTGCTGCGGAGGCGGTTTTTCGCGGCGACTTTGAATTATTTGAACTATTTTGAATTAAATATAATAAAATTGAGTAAAAGTGAATAAAATTGGGGGAAATTAGGGGGCAAACAGGCGCGGCTCCGCTGTGGGGTGTCGCTCGCGCCTGTCCGTGGCGGTTCGGCCAGCGGGCAGACTGGGCAAAAAAAAGCGGAAAAGGAGAAAAGAAAAGCAATTTGCTCCAATTAAAAACCCTTTAGGGTTTTATTAGGGTTTATTTAGGGTTTTTAGGGTTTATTGGGGGCCTTCGGGGCGTTTTAACTCCTCAGGGGGCCTCAAAATGGCCCAATAGAAACTGCGGCGGCGCCAGCAGCTGTGCGCGGCCTGAGGTGTCCATACACCTGAGCTGCTGCTGCCTTCTGCTGCTTTCTATAATCCAAAAGTCATTTATTTCTTTTATTTTCACTTTTTGCTGCTTCTCTCCGAGTTCCAGGGGCTGCTCGCCAGCTGCGAGCAGCCCAGGTGACCCTGGGGCCACCGCGTCACCACTATATCCCGCCGCAAACCCTAAACCCTAAACCCTAAACCCTAAACCCTAGCTCGAGGCCCTGGGGCCCCTCAGGGGGCCCCCGTCGCCCTACTTTAAGGAACTCTTCCAGAAAAAAGCAACAGACAAAAAGATAGAAAGAAGCAGCTTCAAAACCCCACAGCAGCAGCAGCAAGACATCTCCAAATCTCTAAGACACACACAGATATTAGTAGCTGCTGCTGCCCCACGTGCTGCAGCAGCAGCAGCAGCAGCAGCAGCAGCAGCAGCACAATTGGCTGGGGGCCCCCTTAGAGGCCCAGGCTTTTAGACAATGGGGGCCCCTCTTCCTTCCTACACAAAGAGGCCCTTTTGAAGGATTCAATAAACAGGACTGCATGCAGCTTTAGGGTTTCTAGGGTTTAGGGTTTCTAGGGTTTAGGGTTTCTAGGGTTTAGGGTTTCTAGGGTTTAGGGTTTCTAGGGTTTAGGGTTTCTAGGGTTTAGCGTGTCTAGGGTTAGCGTGTCTAGTGTTTAGCGTATCTAGGGTTTCGCGTGTTTCGGGTTTAGCGTGTCTAGGGCTTAGGGTTTCTAGGGTTTAGGGTTTCTAGGGTTTAAGACTTCTAGGGTTTAGGGTTTCGGGATTTTGGGGTTTAGAGGTTCTAGGCTCTAGTCTTACCAGTGTTTAGGGTCTTCAAGGGCCTTGCGTCTAAAGAGTACGAATTTTTAGGGTTTAGGGTTTCTAGGGTTTAGGGTTTTTAGGGTTTAGGGTTCCTAGGGAGGGAGTCTGGGGGATACAGAGTTTTAGGGTTTAGGGTTTTGAGACTTCATTTATTTGCTCTGTCTGTCTCCATCTCGCTACGTTATTACATCATTGGGGCCTCGCTTCTAAACCCTAAACCCTAAACCCTAAACCCTAGCATTTTCTGTACCAATTAGCAGCAAAAGAGCACTCTTGAGCCCTCAAGTCAACTGGCCTTAAACTCTAAGAAAGCAGCAGAGTCACTAGGGGCCCCTTGGGGGCCCCTGGGGCCCCTTGGGGGCCCCTGGGGCCCCTTGGGGGCCCCTAGGGGCCCTTGGGGGCCTCTGGGGGCCCTTGGGGGCCCCTGGGGGCCTCTGCGGTCCCCTGTGGGGACCCCCGGTGGGCCCCGTGGGGGCCCCCTGGGGGGCCCCCTGGGGGCCCCTGGGGGGCCCCTGGTGTGGCCCTGTGGGGCCTTCCAGTGGGGTTCCCTATATTCGAAACTCTAAGGCTTAAAGCCTAAACCCTAAACCCTAAACCCTAAACCCTCAAACCCTTAACCCTAAACCCTAAACAATGCAAAAGCATTAAAGCAGCTACAGGTAAATAGGCGCTCTCTAGCTGCA